GGTAGAAGAATGATTGGTCTGTATGAAGACGGCTGTGTTAAGTCTTTCCCAAGTTTATCTATGAAGATAATCTGTGACTTTTTCCTTACATTAGGATAGTATCCGAGATTAAGAATTGCATTGAAGAGCAAAGAGAGTACTTTTACAGCAATATTTGGTAACTCAATTAGCATCTTTGGGGTAATATTATCATGTTTTGGTGATTTTTTTGGGTTAAGTTCTTTTATTATTCTAATAATTTCAGAAGGTGAAATCTTAAAAGACTCGATTGACTCGCCGTGTGTTGGGTAAACTGGACAACTCAAAGTTGTTCTTTGGGCAATGTGGTTGAAATACCTTTTCTAGGTGATTTGCAAATCAATTAGCTTAAGCGCTTTTTTTTAGTTTACGTACAGCAGGTTTTAATTGAAGCTGAGTGGAAGAGGAGCGATTTAACTGTAATTCTCGTCTTACATGCCTTTTTTCATTTACAAGCTTTTCCATTTCTCTACTAGAAATTTTTCTGAAATGGCTTATAGTTTTTGTTTAGTGTTGCTAAGACAACTCCGCTAGTTATTATATCATTGACTTCTCATATGCTTTCGTCAATATCTCTTCCTGTATTTATTTTTTGCTCAATATTAATGTGGCTATTTTTTATATTTTAGCCAATTCGTTTTATTAGATGTTAGACCCATTTCTGGATCAACGAATATAGGTTGTTCATATTTATGTTTTTAGTACAAGAGAGTGATCAGAAAAAAACACAGTCCATGTACGACTTATCTGTATTTTTGATTACAGCAAAATCAATTAAACCTGGTGTTTTGTTACGATCTCTAGGCCAATATGTCGGCTTACCAGAAGATATTATGTCAAGGTTATTGTGCCCATATATAATAGTGTGATACAGCTGTCCTACTTTCGGATTAATTAGTCGTGAGCACCAATACGTGTGCTTTGCATTGTAATCTCCACCTGCTATAAATCTATGACCCAGTGTTCCAAAAAAAGTCTTTAAATTGAATGTCTGTAATGATTTGATTATCTCTGGAATCATATTTTGCATTAAAGCCATTAATTGTGTTAAGGTTGAAAATCATAGTTTAAACGGGGATTTCAATATTTTCATTAGGAGGAATATCCAACATTTAGTTACAATGTGCTTGAATGCCTGTGACAATTTCGATTTCAAATCTTTATATACAGGGCGACCCCTGTTGTTAGCAGTGTAATTTGGTTTGTTGCTTAAAGCAACGAAGCAATCTCCAAGGGAATTGTTCAGTTAAAGAAACTATAACAAATAGGTGATATACAAACTAACCAATCACAGTTCTTGTAATGAATTATTCTATTTGTGAAGGATATTATAGATTCAATTTTTATTTTTATACATTTTATCTTGTTAATGTGTGAACAGAAAGAAGTCTTCAAAAATTACGTATTGAAATAAAGTTTTTTTTGCATATTAAAGAAATATGTAAAAATTAATTAGTGAATTCTTAGTGAATATAAAAGTTAAAAATATACGTGTAAAATTCATTATACTTGTATACCACTCATAGGCTTGTGTACATATTTGATTTGTATGATAGATACATTTTTTTTTTTTTTAAATTTCATTTACCTGCGGAATGTAAACAATTTCGGCAACTTTTTGGTCACATTGTATTGATCTGATTCATTGATTCAAGATTTATATGCTGCTAAATGAAGGCATCAGATTGAACGTCGATTTCACCCATTTTTACATTGCAAGATATAGATGTCAAATTTCAATGAACTGCGAGACGCACAAAAGTCGGAAAACGTTCACAAATTGCAAAAGTAAATATCCTACAAAGCGCTTTATTGCAGTTCACGTATCGACCCATTTGATACTTGCTGATCTCATCTCGTTCAAGGCCAATAACCGCCATGTTGCATTCTTTGATGACGTTTTTGATCGATTTCACCAAACTGTATTCAGCATTGACATGAGTTTTGAATGTGAATTAGACAACAGTTGCGAATATGATGCAATCCATGTTTTGTCGACTTCGATATTCACTCCTCTAAGTTGAATGCTAAATTTTACGCCGATACATTGAATATCCATCATTTCCAGTTTGCATTTCCGAAAGAAAAACAATGGTATAGTGTTTCGTGCATTTGTTGTCAGACATAAAACCCGAAGTGGAATTGTAGTGTGCGCAAGGTCCATGAACTCTATTGGTTTCATCGCTACGTATAATACTGTATCTTTCTCTGCATCAGGCATTTCCGCAAAAATTATTTCATCAATTTGATCTGGTGTAACCACCATCCATCATCCAATGAAGAATGTGTGCGTGCGGCAAACCTCTTTTTTGCAACTCAACAGAGTACATCCAGCATCTAACAGCATCATATATATCATACGTGGCTTCAAGATAAAGTCCATCAAACATCGTAGCTGTTGTTTGAAAATTCGTGCTGGGACAATCGTGACGATTGATAATTCGACATGTATGTCATTGCATCCTGGGAATACTCGTTCATGTGTATTAGGCTGCCATACGTTTTCACTGAATAATATTCAACAATTTTTCTTTTGAATAGCCGGAATAAAAAAGCAGGCGATAATTTACTAATCAAAATATTGAAAAACAAAAMAACAAAAAAAAAAATTTAAAAAAAGTTACTTTTTTAATTGTCCAATTTTCCGACATTGGGTTGTGTTTAGTATCGCGCCGGTTAATTTTGGCTCACCGTACCTAAATGAGAGAACCAAATGGAAAATTTTAAACACGCATGTATGCTTAAATTATCGAACTTTGTTTTAAAATATATTTTATAAAAATCGGTTCACAAATTTTTCCACAAATTCACTTTAAAAAATGCTATTTTTTGCAAAATTCTAAATATATGCTAGTGTATTTTCATCTGTTGTGCATGGTACCAAACCAATTATGGATAAATTTTCAAGCATTGTAAATCTTTAAATAAAATACACCTTTTTCTCCATTGAGTTCAATAATGCGGAAAACCAACATGACTGCCTAATTTGAACTGTCAAATTACCGAGAAAGCACGAACAAAAGGGAATAAATTAAACCCACTTAGCAATAAATGTATGAAGTGAACGCGAAAAGGTGGTCAATACTAAAATACTGTAGATTGCGTAGCCGGTGTTGGATCGGCCAGGGTTATTTTTTTTTAACGCGGCCGAAGGCCGCTAGTA